TATTTTTAACTAACCATTTGATTTCAAAATAACAAATTTAAATTGTACAAAAAAAACCAAAAATGAATCTCAATAATGCAATAATATTTGTATCACGCAAACATTAAAAATTTCTCTAGCTTCCTTTGTTCACAAAATCTCCCAAACCCCGATCACAACGGCAAGAAGACGAAACCACCCCCACCTCCCTTGAAGCCCCCACACAACCAACTACCCCACCTCCCTTGAAGCCCTGACACAACCAACTAATCTGCGAGTCATAACTCTTATTTACTCTACCGATGTATAGTTATCTGTGTGGTGGAATGGTTAAATTTAATTTTTTTTATTTAAATTTAATTTTTTTATAATTTTATATTATTTTAATATGTTGATATTAAAAATAACTTTTTAAAAATAAAAAATATTATTTTAATATATTTTTAAATAAAAATATTTTTAAAAATAACAACTACTATATTTTTAAAAGCTTATATCAACCACAACCTTAATATTTTTTAATCTTTGCAAGTCCTTTAAAAAATCTGTAAATTTTCTAGAGATTGTCAAAACTAATTTAGTTTATTTTATAGATTAAGAGATTGTGAGCGAAAAGGTATTTAATCACCTATGTATTATTTGTGAGCCCGAAGGTATTTAATCACTTATGAATTATTTATTTTGATGATAACAATATATTATTACATTTAATATGTATCTTGGAGTATTGTTATTGCATGAATTTCTCCACATTAAATTAAATTAAAGTTATGGACTTCTTGGATAAAAACTTAAATTGAAGATTCAAAAGCACACATGATGTAATCAAGTTTTTATAAAATTTAATTTGATATTATAAAATAAATTTAATTTATAATTTTTTAATTGCTGAATTTTATCAAAAAAAAATTATTTTATTGCCAAAACCCATACTTACCCTATGAAATATTATTTCATTACATGCCTTGGTATTTATCACTAAAATGTTTTTAAATCAACATCACATATTTGGTCCATTATGTTCTTGAACTCTCGCAAACATTGAAAGTTTTATAAGTATTTTTAGTAAGTGATGATGTTGTGATTTCCAAAGAAATGTAGTAAACATTAAAGAGCTATTTTACCTAAGACATCAACTCATCTTCATAACATGATTTTACGACAACTCCTTTTCTTTCAAAAGCATCCCTTAACCATTTTTCTTTCTTGAGAAAAACACTTGGAAGAGCAAAATCTCTTGAATTAATCTACGTGCGCTCATACTATTTTACAATTTTACATATTTAATTCTTAGAATTTATCTTACTCTAAAAAGCTTTCATTAATCTTTGTATTCTCTTGAAAATCTTCAAATTCTATATTGTATCAAATTAATTTTTCATATCCTAAAGCTAAACTACATCTTTATAAAGACTTGATTATAATCTTTGTAATTTTCTCTTCTCTTGTGTAAGGAGTGAATATCTCAGTCAAATGACATCCATCCTTGACTTAGAAAAGGTATTTGAAATTCTAGATTTATGGGGGTGGGAACTCGAGACTTATGACCTAGAGACTAACCCTAGCTGAGGTTAGGTGAGTATTGGGTTTTAAATACACTTTTTTTTTCATGCCATCATCTTAAGCTTGTTTGATACTTTTGAACCTCAAGAAATGTAAAAGCATGTTTAAATAGTTATTAGACAAATAAGAAGTTTTGCTTGTACAACTGAGGAAGCTCATTGAATAACGTTTTGGTCTCTTACCTGAATTCTGCTTTCAAAAATGCTATACTAGGCAATTTTCTTTTCATCCACTGTGTTTTTGTCATTTTCTTTTGGTGTACTTTCTAAAAATAGTATTCCAACATTAGGATTCCTTATTGCAAGATGATAAAGCACACTTAGTTTGCCGACAAATGTATTTTGTGGAATTGATAATACAGTTTGTTTCGCTACGTGGTGGTTATTTAATTATGATATGCGACATTAATTATGTGGGAGCTAAGAAATCATCTTTTGGCTTTCATTTGAAAAAATAATGGTTGCGCACAAAATTAAAATTAATTTAAATATTTTTTCATCATGTATGATTTTTCCAAAACTTTTATCAAATTATATTAAAATGGTAAAACATCCTCAAACCATATCATTTTTGTCCAATGTTATTCGGGACACAAACCATGTCATGCTTGAGATTTTGAAATCAGATAATTTAGATAATTAGGGGATAAATCCGAAAAAATTGAATGGCACGATGATAGTTCTAACATGGACTAAAAAATTGCAGATTTCCATGCCATTATCCATTGGTACCAACATTCAAAGTTCGCCCGTCATTCAAATTGCTGGTAAAATAAACATTGATGATTAGGGAGAACAGTGCTTAAATTTAAGATAGAAAGGTAACCTAAACAACATACCAGCATTGACGAAGAGGGAGTGGTGCCGACCAACAGAAGTCAGCACAACTAGAGTTGATGAAATCTGAAAGTCCCACTTCAAAAACCTTTACGTGAGCAGTACCTTCTGTGAATTATGGATCCTCACATCTATACTGGCCTTCAGCTCTATTTCCAAAGCCCATGGGATCTGCAGAGACATTCTCAAGCAGCTGACTGTGGGATGGAAGAGGGCGGATATGTCAAATTCAACAGCATCCTCAGCCACTTTCGTCTATCTTCTTCTCCATAGTCTTTAGCTCTGCTTCCCTGTCAAGGCTGTTCTCGATTAAGCACTTCTTCAAGGATTTGATGGGATCTCAGCAGACCAGTGATCCTTCCCAGCTGCCAAAATGAACCAAGAGATCGAGCGAGAGAGACATGCATGGAATCGTGATAATGACAGACTATAAAACAGAAGATCAAAATACTAGTATTTTGTTTTATGCCTAATTATTTCAAGGAGCTCTACCAATATATCTTTAAGATATCAAATACCTTAATGAGTAATGACTTCTAGCTTTAAGTTACACATTGATTTTTAAATTGTTTTTTACTTATAAATATATTAATATAAGTTTTTTTAAAAAAATTATTTTTAATACTAGTAAATTAAAAACAATTTAAAAATACAAAAAAATGAATATAAATAAAAAAACTAAGATTTTTTAAAAGTACGGATGAATAATAAAACCAAACGTAACCTAAGTCTGCTCACAAACTTTTTTATAAGAGGTTTCAATTTTATTTTAATTTTTTATTTATTTTGCACTATTTTGTTATTTTGATAAATACTCATACCATATGATTTAAAATCTCATTCCATACATATGTGATGATTCAGGACGAATTGAAATGTCCAAAAAATTTCACTAGTCGTTTTCTTTTCACCGATTAAATAGTTATTTTTTTAATTTAAATCTTTCATTGCTTCACTATTAATTACATTCAATCTAACCTAATTATCTATACATTTTATTAAATTTCATTGCTTGATATTTATAAAAATTTAATCTATTGATTTGAATAATGAGATCCTCTTCCTTTTAATATATTATAAATACTTGCAAAGTAATTTACCAACACGTTATATTGTACATCACGTTTAGTCCCTTTCCCAGCATGCGAGAAGAATTCTTTTCTTTAATATAGAACGTATATATAAAAACAAGCGGTAGTCGAATGTCAATTCGGGTCCATAGCTCAGTGGTAGAGCATTTGACTGCAGATCAAGAGGTCACCGGTTCGAACCCGGTTGGGCCCTTCGTTTTATGAAAAATTTATCCATTAAACGACATCGTGCAACACCTTCCACAATCCTTGTTCTTTTGGATAAGAAACGTTTTCATCCCTAGTTTCCATATTTTCGATTGCATCCCTGAGTTTAATTGTTTCAGTTTTCTGTGAGGTTTAACTACCTTCAAAAGAAACAGTTTCATCTCTATGTTTCACAAGACTGCGATTGCATGTTGATATTCCTTGTTGTTTTGGATAAGAAACAGTTTCGTCCCTGGTTTCACGAAATTGCGATTACCTTCTTAATTTTGATTTTTCCAGTTTTTGTGCCGTTCAATGCATTCCAGTCCTTGCTCTAAAATGTCGATTACATTTGTAATTTTAATTATTTCAGGTTTTTGTTTTTGTATCTCCGATAGGCAATGCCCTTCCCAATTGTGTAAGGATCTATCTAGCCTTGTTCTCTTGAAGAAGATACAGATTCATGCTTATGTTTCGCTAGGTGGGCTTGTTAGGAGAGATAATGGCAAGGATGCACATGGAGAAAGTGATACGAGGAGAGGTTTAACCATTCGCCTACTTTGGCAAGACAGATATTTACCAAACAAAAAGTTATTGGAAGAATCCTTATTTATAATTTTCAATCCTGGATCAACTCTTTAGTAATTTTCAATATTCAATTTGGATAGATTAATTATTATCCTTCTTCTATTTTATTGGCCAAATAACTTAATTTTTAGTAACTCATCTATCTTTTCTCATTTCCATCCTTCCATTTTAAACAAACATGGTCTTAGATTATTTATTCTTTTTATTTTTATTTTTTTAGTAAAAATTAACCTGATAATCCTACAATTTACGTTGTTTTTACACCTTACCCTCTGTATTTTGAAAAATTACAGTGTGTAAAACAAACTAAGCTATAGGATGATTTAGGATGCAAGTATCATGCATGTAATAACATTAGGATGTAAGCTGTAATTTTCAAAAATATTATATATAAAAAAAATCTGATCAAGGTAATTCCCCCCCTTTTATGGATTTTTTGAATCATTTAATAACAATTAATTTTAAAATTTTTATTTTTCATGTAAAATTGGTCAAAGCTATTGCAGTAGATACTTTTATTGATACATATTTTAGAACTCATGAAAGATTTCTATTCTAGACTGCAAAAATAGCATGAGAGATTAAATTGAACTCGCTTAGTGTTAAACAATTTATTTAGTTCTGAAAAAGAAAAATCACTACTACAAACTCTAATTAAAGAACTCAATGGCAAAGCAACCCACAGCAAGGGCCAAATTTGGTATTACCTCTATAATTTTAAACCTCTGAACTTACCATCTATCCACTGTGGCCGTTCTAAGCAATTTGCAGGCTTTCCTTTATTTTCCTCCAGAATGCACTCATTACAATTTGCCATGCATAATAATTTGTTACAGCATCCTCGGTTCAGTTGGTTAGAACACATGTAATAGTACTCGTAGCATCATCCTTAATCCCCGACAAGGCCACCAACATATTTCTTCAGTATCCATCCCATTTTCCAGCAGAATGCTCATAACCATCCGATCAAAGCTTAAAAAATTCAAGCCTTTAAGAGCAGTTTTCCATCCCATGGAAAGGCAACCGTAGTTTCAGATTGCAAACATCAAACTCCATTAAATAGATGCAGGCAAGAACGAACCTAACTTTTTTAAATTGAAAGGTTTTTAATTTATCGCCAAATTTACTCCCCCCACTACATACAAAATTTATTTTTCCTACATGGTTACAAGACAACTGCACAGAATATTTTATACATCACGGAAAAAAATACAAAAACAAAACAGAATGAGAGAGACTACATGGGTTAGAAAAAAACCTCAGCCAAGTGAGAGCATCGTTGATGACAAACTCATGAGCTAATGGACAGCCGGTTTTCAATTTCTACAGTTTGTTAGTCTATACAAGCTAGTACTGTCAGCCTTTGTTTGTCTTCTCCTTGCCTGCAAAAGCATCATCCAGGTGTTAAGATGCATCTCTGTGACAAAATTTTACCAACACGAACTGGGCGATCACAAAGCTTACCGAATATGCTTGATTTTAGTGGGAACCGGAGAGATGACCCTTTCAGTTTTAGCTCTCTGAGTTGCCTCCTTTTGCCTGGTTTCTCGACTTCTGCAAGAGCACTGCTACTCTCTCCTGTTAAAAGATCAGGTCCTTTCTTCACCTTTTCATGATAAACTGCAGGTGGTGCTAGCCTCAGCTGAGGCATGCTTTCTATCTGTACTAATTTCTTATCTTTTTGGAGACTAGATAAGATCTCAAACTGCAGAAAATTCAGGATGAGTTTTGATCAATTAACAAACTTCTAACCATGAGAGGTGTAACAACAACAATTAAGCTACTCATTTACCCGTGATATTTGCTGAAGCCCATAGGAATTCTCTAACAAATCTTCATGTGGGTGTAAAATGCTAGTTCCATGTGCTCTCCGTGGTCTCGCGGAAACCTTATTCACTAAACCATTCTCAGGAAGTGCTGATTTGTTTCTAGCCCCCCTCTGAGTATTCTTCTTAGGCATGCAAACAGGACATCCGGATAAGTGGCCCCTACTTGATAACTCATTTTCAAGTTCGCAATCAAGATGAGTTGCATGACCACAACTGAAAACTCGAATACGGAAACTGGAATTCTTTGCAAGTGGGCAGTTGCATATACAACATACAGTACTTCGGGGAGCATAGCCATGAGACGCCCCCTTCTTTAGCAAGCTCATGGTGTAAAATGTGTCATCCTCTATCAAGGATTTGGCAGTATCCTAAAATGCATAAATTATGAGTTAGTAGAAATTTGTGAATTAAGGTTGAACAGCTCATAACCGTCTGGCACAAAGTTCATAAAAAAGACAAATTCTAAGATGAATAGATAAAAATAAAAAAAATTCAAATGACCAAGTTAATAATATATACCAGAATTCTTCTTTCAAAGCCATATGTTCCAAGCATCCCCAGAATTGTAATTTTGAAATCACCAAATTCCTGGCTACCATTATCAGAGAGGAGTTTTGACATGATAGTTGGAAGGCGAATGTATCCAATCATCCCCTCGACAATCTCTTTGATGAACATAGAAAACAATTTCCTCAAGAAGTGAGCACCTTTGCAAGATCTGGAGATTTTCCACTTGATTACCCATGCCCCATCATCCTCTTGGGAGCCCAGAACTTCACCTTGCACTCCACCGTAATTCTTTGTTTTTGATGCCCTTCTATCAGAATAGGAATCCATCAAAGGCATACAGAACCTGCATTTTTATATATATGGAAAATTAGGAAATGAAAAATGCAAATGCTATTCCCTTCCACAACAATATCATTCTTGGCAAATGTAAAATAGATAAACAGCAAGCGTAAAGGACTGGTGGAGCAAAGCCAGAAGCATGAATAATACAAGATCTAAAAGGAGATGCATGTTCTCTTAATGCAAATATAGAAATTCCCAAAAGAAAACTCATAAGATGCAATTGAGAAATTGAAATAAAAAAAAACAGTGGTTGACATGACCAATTAATTAAAAAAGAGTGCCTTGTACAGTTGCTCAGCTGTTTACTTTTTTCAAGTGATAACTTCCATTACAGAATGAATATATCACTGGTTATGGCAGTTCCTATTAACCAGATGTTAATCTCACACATTCTCAAATAATACAACATTAAAAGAAGATGAAAAGGTACACATTGTCATTCTTGGAGATTTGTCAAAAACCACATGTGTTTAAGCTGCAAAATCAAATAAAAAAAGATTATTTTATATGAAAAGGCGTTTTTGCCCTTAAGAGAGCTGAAATGTTTAAGCATGCCCAGGTGTGCTTTTACCAACAATATAATAGAAGATGAAAAGGTACACATTAGTATGCCCAGGTGTGCTTTTACCAACAATAGAACAGCATTTGTTAACGCAAGAAAACATAAAATGCAGACAGGAACATTCTCAGCTTCCTCTTTCAAAACTATGCACAGGCAAAACACAGCACACATAGCGATATCCTGGCAGCTGGCTATAATACTCGAAGTGTTCCATCCTATATCATACACTGCTAGTTAATGTTCTGAACGGTAACAAAAGATGTGGACTTTCACTAGGAGAATAGAAGAAAAATAAGAAAAAAGGTGAGTCGATAATCAGTAAATTTTTTCTTACATCATAGACAGCTTGTTAATGTTTGACATGGTGACCAAAGATTTGGATTTTTTAATAGATGTACTGAAGAGAGAGAAGAAAAAAAGGTAGAACAAATATGAAAAATCTTGTCTGAGGAGTCACAAGCAAACTACTGTTAAATATAGAATGTCACAAAATGCATGTAATCAAATTAATAATCTATATTGAGCTTACGAGTCAAGTAATCTGAACCAGAGCATCTCAGATTCCTCAGGTTGTAAACGAGGGGTGTTCCGCTGGCATAATCCAATACAGGCATTTAATATACTGCGTATGTTGTCCACCTGATGATAAATATTGTAGAGTGCATTAAACATCCATTAAAAGCATGCTTTCTTACCAGGAAAAAGAAAAAACTAAAACCATATCATAAAACTCTATAAATCTGTCAACCTCTTTCATTTTTAAAACGGTGCTGTAATGATCACTACTCGCAGAAACACTCATATCTGAAACCACACTTTCCACAGCTGACTCTAGCTCTGAAAAATTTTCATTGAGACCAGAAAGTGTGAGTAAAAGAGCACTTCCAGCATCACCAACCCTTTCCAACAAAAAGGCAGCAGCATCTATTATCCCATATTCCTGGCACTTGCGTAAACAATGTTCCACCCGATAGCTATCAAAAGTCCCTAAGAATCTGAGAACTGAATTGCGCTCAAACTGACATAATAGCTGCAAGAGCAAAATGCAAAAAGCAAAATACTAAGAATCTAACCCAAGAAGTGATAACACCATCCTTGAAAATTCAGAAGAAAAAAAGCAGTAATTAGAAGTGCAGGAAATTAGAAGTTATCATAGCAAACATAATTCTGATAAAAACAATGCAATTAGTCAAGCAATAATTGCATAGAAGTGCATGTAGATGATTATATCCCACAAGGAAAAAAACAAAGGCAGCACCTATATCACGACCCAAACCAATACAACATTTATTTGACTGAACACTTGAGCTTATTCATTTCCTTTCAGGTGCGCCTTGAGAGCAAATTTCAAGAGACAAAATTAGAGTTACGAAGACCATGCGATCAGACTGAACACAAGCCCTCAAGAAAAAACAAAGACATGACAATTTTTTACTGTTTCAGAGGGAGTGGTGTTGCAATGTCATTCAAATCCAATCAATTGCTTTTAGGATAAAAGTAGATGGGCTGACCTCAAAATAAAGCTCAATCATATCATCATTCAAATCCAATCAATTGCTTTTAGGATAACAGTAGATGGGCTGACCTCAAAATAAAGCTCAATCATATCATCATTCACATGAACAGGATTATTCCGCATGAACTTAGGAAAATCAGAGATCCTTTCCAGATAAGCTGTGAGTCCTTTTGACTGATCTTTCACCCTTCTTCCATCAGCAACATCTATATCATCAGCTTTTTTTAAATTAGAAAAGTCTAAGGTTCCAGACAAATGAACCTCGATGACAGTCTTTAAATACAGAAAAAGACTCTGTGGATGAGAGCGTAATTCAGAGAGGATATGTGGACTGTCAGCACGAAAATGGTCAGTGACCAAGAAGAATGTTCCCTCTCTGGAAAAAAAAATCATAAGATCGATCAGAGAAGAAAGTTCCCAAATAAAAGAAATCTGACAGGATATTTAATGAGTAAAAATTGACATGTCTTCTTACAAAAAATTGAAAAAAATTTACCTGCTTAAGACAAGCAACTCAGGAATCCTAGAAATCACAGCTGATCGAAAAGCACCACTATCATTGTCACTCAGCTTTTCTAACATATTGTTAATGTACGCAAAAGTATGAATGGGTTCATCTATGTCTTTCATATAGCTATCCAAGGCAGCAAGATACTGATGCCTGATGGTATGAATTAAGCCACAAACCTGAAACCCATATTAGAGCCAATAGCATGATGCTACCAAAAAGAGAACTTGATATAAGAAACACTCTCTGAAACAATAGCACAAATGTGATCATGGCATAGATACCTGGTGAAAGTGTGCTTTCTCACATAGCTGTAACACATAAGACTCATTCCAATCAGTCTCAGGCACCACTTCCAGAAGTGCAAGCACCTGTTTCTCTCTCTCCTTTGAGGTTTCAATGATGTGTGCAGGAACACTTGGTGGGACAGTACTTTCTGATGTCAAGTACTCCAAAATTTGACCCAGCACAACTTTTGAAACATGAGCTTTCCTACATGCAACATGGTATGCAATGAATTCAAACAGATTTCCTAAGTCTTTCTTTGAGGGCCATGCATCCACAAATCGAGTATCAACATTATCAACAGCAGACTCATCTGCTCGGGATATATGTTTTTCGGTAATTTGAACAAGAGCATTTATAGTATTCTGAATCCATAAATTCTGACTTTCAGCCATAATATTGTTTTCTTGCTCAGCCTCCATACTTGTGTCAGCACCATCTTGCATAGATAACTCACGTTTCAGATTTTCACCATCTAAAAAAGCACACCTCAAAACATCTAAAGTTGCTTCAGTATCTAACTGCAAGAGATGATACAAGTTCAGGTATGTTCCTCTTGACACTGCCTGTGGATTAGAGGCATCGGAACTCTCCAGCAAAAACTGCACAAGTTCGGTCCTAAGAGATGACAGACGTGTGACAGGAAGAGCCCCATGTCCTGCAAACACAATGCTTCAAAGTTTCATAATCATTCATGAAAACCGAATCACACATTGAACATGTACTTTATCCGTATGCCACTTGTGATCATTTATTCCAAAATGCAAGCAGTTCATCATTGGTTTAAACAACGGAAATATTAATTTTGAGAGTGAACAGCCAAAGTTCCTTGTACATGGAGACACTTCAAGTTTAACCAACCTGTTATAGATGAGGATAAAAATGTTGACAAGAAATATCATGTAATGACAAATTATTTATAAAGTATATGCTTATCAGAGTACACTAGCTAAAAAATCGTGCCGTGGGTATCAAGTTACGTAATAGCCAGTACCATGATCAATATATACTTATATAAGAACCGGATTGGATAAAAGCTGAGCCAATAAATAGGAAAAGGACTGTAATAAAACACTTCAAACATGATGCTAGCTATCTATACTATAAATTATAACATCATGAAAGATATTATTGTTTTACAAAAAAAACATTGATTTTGTCAACAAGAGCCTCTTACTTGTCTTAATAAACAAATATATAAAATTAGAAGTTTCATATATCAAATTTAAAGAGCAAAAGCTATCCAGAACTTGGCACCATTCTAAAGTGTGAATGCATGCTGTATTCAGAAAATAATGACTCCGAGCTCGCATAAATTGTTTTCAAAAACACGCGCGCGCGCGCACACAAAAGGCTTGATAATAATCTAGTGCTCCTCAATAGTCAATTCTCAGAACATTAAATACCCAACTTAGAAGTTGATTTGAAAGTTTTTTATGATAATATATCTCATGACAAGAATTGAAAAGGAGAGAATTTTGTAATAGTTGAATCAAATCAAGGTCTATCATAACTTGAATGATACCTGGTGGAAAGGCAAGACCTAAAAAGCAGTACTTCAGATAAACAAGCATCCTGTACCTGTAATTGAGTTCAGTAGTAAAGGGTAACCATACAGAATAGAGAAGCCATGGTCAACAAATCAACTTACAATTTATTTTTTGATTAAAGTGAAGAGGGAGGTAAGTTGATGTGATTCGTTTTCTTGGATAATTTTATGTAGTGTGATTATTCACTTAGGAAAATTAAATTCATGCAAAAGAATCTCCCCATTCAAAACCGAACATGTGAAAATCCCTGCCTTGTTAGTAAGCTTATAGATGACATATTTAATGCAGGATGACATTTGCTCGAAATCATTGAAGTTTTAATTTATTGAATCTGTCATGGGTTAAGGCCATGTACCCAAGGGCAGCAGCAGTCTCTTGTTGACTAGTTCTTGAAACAACCAATAGCTCCTCTAAAGGTGTCCTGAAATCATCCAATCCTTTATTGAAAAGATACACCAAGGCACCATATAACCCATGCTCCCGGCATAGCCTGACAACCTAAAAGACAATATACAATGATTATTCACCATTCTTGGTGAAAAAACTATAGCAAACATATAGGTTGAACAAGGGAAAAATTAAGAAAAACCTGATTAAAATCCAAGGAGGAAATGTCCATGTGAAGGACACATTGCTCAACTCGCTGCAACCACCCTTTGCTACTGTAATGCTCTACTAGGGCTTGCATAATCTTTGAAGGTGTAAGAATAGGAAGATGAAAGAAAAGACATTACAGTGAAAAAGTTAGCAACCAGATTGGAAAAATCAATGAGGGTAAACAAAACAACAAGCATCAAGCAATACCTCAGGGGGTAGAGACCCCAGCATATCCCTCAATATATATGGCTCCAAAAGCTCCAAAAATGTATCTAAAATACAGAAAAATAAAGATTCAAAAACCGAGGCTTCCACTCAACAGGATAATCATGGCATGTAGCATCAAAATAAGAAGCAAAGTACATGCAATTTGCAGCATCAATTTATAGAAAAAGGCATTCACTTCATAGCATTAATTGTAGAAAATTGCACACCCATAACAAGAAAACTTAAGCAAGCACAAAATGAACAATACGGAAGAGGCTACATCCAATCTATAAAACTCAAGCCTCTAGAAGTGACAGAGAGATGTAATGCAACTAGCATCTAATTGATGGATTCAAAATTGCTGCATGGTGGAGCAGTCAAAGTTCAAAGACCAGAATTAACCAAATACGCACAGAATTTTATGTAATCTGAAGGGGTACCTCTATGTTGAACAAAGACAAATTTAGAGAAAATTTCATCAAAAAGGATGTCAGTCCGCTGTATATGGACACAGAATTCTACAGCAACACCACCGACACGTGTGAACTGTTCTTTTATTTCAGAGTGCACTGAGTTGCTTCCAGTCTTTGAGTCATCTTGCTGTTCCGCTTTTCCAATTTGATTGCAAAAAGCCACTGAGATATAAGAAAATACTTCATCTACATATGACATAAGCAATTCTACCAGATATGGCATTATGGCTTCCTTTACAGCATCTACTGATTTAGGAAGGTCAACAACACCATGAGCTTGGCCATCATAAAGTGTCATTGCCATGTTCAGGGCACCCATCCAGTCCCCTGCTCTTCGCAGAACCTGAATACGCTCTTTCCACGGGAGAAGGCGGGAAACAATAAGATGTGTTGGTCCAAGTATGTACACAGAAGCTCCCCTTACACCTATACAATTGTGATAAGCTTTCTCAGGGTTCCCATAGATATTGATCAAGTGTGTATGATATGCAGCTAGATCATCTCCCCCAGGACCATCAACAGCAAAACTAGTTTGGTGAATCACAGTGCCATCCTTCGCGAACAAATATAGTTGTCCTGTTAACGTGAGAACCACCAGCATCTGGGAAGGGAACAATCCTCATTAAGTTTTAAAGATTAAAATAAACCACAGAGCATGCGCAAGTGTAGTGGAGAAAGCAAAGACAATAAACAGTGAACAAACTATAAACAAATAGATTTGCCAAAAAAAACACATACATGATCATCCAACCAAGCCACACCTATGGCTGCACTGTCAAGGGACCATTTTCCATAAACTTTTAACTCAGATTTGACCAATTTTGCCACTTGCACTTTTCGATCCCAGGCAATTGCGAGCAATGAGACTCTCTCTGCCACATGTTCTGGAACATTGTCTGCAACAAATTCTTTTTAGAACACTGTCCGTTAGAAAATTTAAGAAACTCTGCAGGCCATACCAGGTGATGAACTATGTGGTTGTGTGGTACATTTCCATGCAGTGTAAGGCATGGAACCCTCTCGAACTCCATCTGGCCTAGAAAGTTGTGCATATACCTGTAAACTGGGACTGAGCCTAACCTGTAAAAAAGGCATGGTTCCAACACATTGTGAAGAATAAACATTCACAAATAAGCAAACATTAATTCACAAAACAAAAGGTGCATGGAACTTGCAGAATTATCCAGGGATTTCATACCACCAAGGCAGTTTGATGAGTGACAAATATGACCACACCTTCTTCAACCAAAGAAGAGCCCTCATTGAATAGTTTCCAACCTGCATCTCCCCCAACTACACCACCCATCATGCTACTAATGCTGGTGGATGATGCTGAAGAATTTCCCTGTGTGGCTGGCAAAGCACCTCCACAAGATTCATCAAGAAGGGGTGAAGCTGATAACACAGTGCCCGTTCTTTGTCCATCAAGAAGACACTATAACAATCAATTAACATTAAGTCATTAATTTGGCAAGTACAACACATACCTACCACATGCTGACTCAGATTAACACATTTTACAGCAAGGCAAGGGCGTGCACCATCAGCCTAGAATGGTGTCTTTACCTGTGTTTTGAACGAGAACCTGTTAAGCAAGGGAACCACTGAGAAAGCATGTAGCAGAACCAGACCCTTGCTATCACCAGTAACCGCTTTAAACTGACGAGTAACTTGAGAATCCTGGCCCAGAAAGAATGCATGCACAACTGGTGCAGTATGCTCCCCATTAATAACTTTTGCTGCTGATGCCCTCTGGACATCCCAAACAGTAATGTGACCATCTCCGTAACCAGCCAAGAGCATGTCTCCTTGTTGATTAAAGCACATGGAAGTCACTGGGGCATGAGATCGATCACCTTGCAAACCAAGCATTAGCATCTGGAAAAGGAGAAGGATGGTTCAGTGGGTGATGCTGACTAACTATAAGGACAAACAAGAACCTAACTTGCAAAATATCAACAATGACAATGTTTTGCAGCTGTGATTTTCCTTGAAAATTGGATATTCAGTTAGCATTAGATGTTTGTTTCACTACGGTGAATTTCCTAGTAAGCAGGAGCCAGAAGAGTCTACTGAGAAAAGAAAAGAAAGATTTTATGCACGCATATAAATTAAGCCATGCCTAAAGCACAACTTCAAAGAAGAAACACTATAATCTCATACAAGTACATTTATGAAAGTCCTTCAAATTACTGCTGGATCTAGGATTTCCTTATTCCACATTGCATCTATGAACAAAATAGGTCTCGTCTCAGGAAGCACGTATCTAACTGCACCCTCAAAAGAACAAACCTTCCCATCCTTCAATAAAAGCAAGAAAACAAAAGGCAAAGACATACACTAATTAAAAAGAAGCAAGCCAAAAGCCACATACAACATAAACTAAAAGCAATATGATGAACAGAAGTAACCTTTGCATCCATGTTATCATCATTATGAGAAGAGTATCTACTAGGGACAACAACAATGACACCTTTTGACATTCCCACTGCAATGTAGTTAAGATGAACAGCCAAAACTTGAGGTGAACCATGATCTCTCCTAAATGTTTGAGAACCAACAGTTTGTGTAATAACATTATGAGAATCAACATCAAAATATCCTAAAGTAGTTGACCCCCTCCGAACACCCTCAAGTCTCATAGGCTGAGCAGCCGCACCCTCCTCCCAATGCAATCCAGTATAGGCCATTTTCTTCTCGAGTTCTTCTGCCAATTCAAGCGGCTTCAGACTAGACTTCCGTTTCTTCTCCGCCCTTTTACTAATCATCTCACTCTCCAGTTGCTCGATTCTCTCCTCTACAAGCTCCGAAATATCACTCATTGAACTTGCATCATCACCATCACCAATAGTAAAAACACCTACCCCATCATCTTTAACCTCGTCCATATTTTCTTCCAAACTATTTCCCTCTCCTTTCACCGCCTCGTCTTTAAAGGAATCAACATTATTCAAGTTAATAATAACTACTTCACTCGAATCACTCACTTCCACAAATTTATCTTTAGAAACAGAAGCTGCATTTTCATCATCCAAATTTAAGTTAGCATCAGAATTCGAGGTCGAACCAGTATTATGCAACATATCTTGACCACTATCATCACTTAGCCGTACTTCCCCCTCGATTTGAAAAACTGGCTCTCCTTCACTTTCACGTGAAATCTTCAAATCCTCTTCTGTATTCGGAATCGCATTCTCTTCTGTAGCAGATTGAAATAATCCACCCATCTTCTCCTCTGACTGGGACTGGAATCTTTCAATTGCGTCTCCGTTCGATGAATTTGACACAGTTTCATGATCGCCACCACCACTGGAGGCTGATTCTGCTATATCGAGAATCGTCTGGAAGGTTCCGCTCCCGCTGCTCAATCTCCTGGACTTGATCGCGGCGGCATGCGGTGTCGGAACAGAACGAGAGGCAGCAGCTGCCGCTGCAAGGGCTGCCCCTGGCTTCGCATTCGATCTCACTCCACCGAAAAGCGATGGCAACTGTCTTGAAGACGGAGGAGGAAGGCGCCACGGTGAATTAGTAATTCGAGTAAGTGAAGTGGGTTTTAATTGATCCTGGAGAATTTGTGATTGTGTGGAGGAATCTAGTGAGACGGCGTGTTGGAGGTGGGAGGGAGGGAGATCTGATTGTTTGATGGAGGGTGGGGATGAAGGAGGGGAAGAGGAATCGGAGTCGTTGAGAATTTCGTCGAGAGTACGGTGAGGGACGGAGGTATTATCGGTGTCAGAATCGGAGGTGGAATGAGAATTAAGGAAGGAGTCAAGGTCGAGTTCCATAGGGAGTTTGGTACTCGTTAGTTTCTTAGTCATGTTTATTTTCTATTTTCTATCAGGTAGGATGATGTTTGTTCATTTATGTATGTGACTGCAGAAGAAAAGGCTGCTTTATCATCACGGTAGAGAAATTTCTTGCTTCTTCCTCTGAGACCGGGCTATAGAATTGCTCCGATCGTCTCCATAGTTTTCTACTTTTCTTCGCCAACGGTATCACTGCGAGTAAAAAATAAAAAGCCGACAACTCGGCGTATGAAACCAACGACCCCTCGTTTAAGGATATCTTTGGGAAATCAGTAGCCATTATTTAAAAAAAAATAAAAATTACTTTTTAAAATTTATTTTTAATATTCATATATTAAAACAATTTAAAAATATAAAAAATAATATAAAATTTAAAAAATTAAATTTTTTTAAAGCTCAACGACTTCAAATATTACCTAAATTCTTTTTTTAATAGTAGGGTTTTTATTAAAATAAAAACATTAATAACGGTAGTTGTCACCCAGACATTACAAAAATTGAAACAATGTTACTTCTAAAAAAAATAATTAACTAATTATTGCAAGAAATTTAATTTTTTTACATGGATGCACTTGTCTTTAACATATTGACAGAGAATAAATTAATTTTTAAAACATGTTGAAATGACTGTCATTCTTAAAAGTAAAATAAAACTTAAATTCACATCTAGGATTTTTTTATATTTTTCACTTTTAAATGTACTTAAATAACTAAGTTGTCTTTAAAATTAAAATTTTTTTAATCAAGATTTAATATATTTTGATTTTGATTTTTTAGTTATTATTAAGTTAAAAAAATAAGTAATTTAATAAATATAAATATTATTTGTTTAAGTGGTTAATGCATATATTGCACGTGTTAGTAAAAGGATTGTGGTCGAGCAAAGAATAAAGAGACTTTTAATGGCTCAAAAAAAGCTTTTAAGACAGCCTTCAAATGTTTTGATAGCTCCTTTGTCCGTAAACGATATGTGATTTAATAATTTTTATCTTGGAATCAATAGCTTTTTTTTTTCTTTTGTTCTCTCACCTCCTTAAAAGAAATAGGTGTCTAATTTCTAAATTTTCAAAGTAATTTTTTAATTTATTTATTTTTTGAATTTAATCCATGTTATTTTGATTATTATTTGTTTTATTTGAAGTAATTTATAAAAATAATGTTTTTCCTATAAAATTTTAAAATACAAAATTATCCTTGAGTATTAGACATTATATTATTTTATTATATGTTAGTTGAGTATTTTTACTATATAAAATATGAAATTACCAATCTAATCATATATAATTTGTAAAAGACAATTGTATATAATTTATAAAAAAATAATTGTGTTATAATGAAAAGATCATCATGCCCTCAGTATCCAATTCAAAGGTTTTTTCTTCTTTAAGAGTAATTTTATAATTATACTATTCCATTGAATAATAATTTGTATCTAAAGGAATAATAATTATTACATTCTCATATTTGGTAATTTTTAAAACTATAATATAATTGATAATTTAAATTATAATAACTTATTGCATTACATAAAAAAAGCGATGTAATGAACCATTACATGATGAAGAGTAATTTTACAAGGATCTAATTGTAATTTTTTTTTATCATGAACTGAATTATAAATTTTATATAGTACATGGATTAAAAAAAATAATAACTCATTACATTACAAGCATTGCATAAGAAAGTTAGAAAGTCACGTGATGAACCATAAGAATGTATAAGAATATGCTTGTAGTGTGGTAATAATTGTTTTTTAAATAATGTTAATAATTTTTTTAATTTTTAAAAAATATTTTTAATATTAGCACATCAAAACGATCCAAAACACACAAACCATATTAAATTTTAACAAAAAAAAATTAATTTTTTTTAGAAATACAGATTAAACTGTGTTTCCAAATAGCCTCGAAAGATAATCTTGACAAAAATAAATTTTTAATAAAGACCAATTTATAAATAAAAATAGAATTTAGGATCGAAAATAATTTTTCAAATGCTACAAGGACTAAAATAACACTCTGTGATCTTCTACATTACATTTCTAAAAGTTTTGCAAACAAATAAAAAAAATATAATAAATATTTCAATTCCATTCCATTATATTATAAATTTGATTTATAATTATCAAACTCAAATTATTTTTTATATTTACCTAACAAAACTCAGACAACCTGATATGTTGATCCACAACCCCAATAGCATGACTAAATCCCCATCGAATCAAAATTCAAAAAAAAAAAAATGACATCTTTTAAAACAAAAATGATAGTCAAATTACCATAATTACGCGTGAATTGATCAAATGCCTTGGTAACCAGAAACCTGAACCGAGTCAGCTCTCTATCGAACTCTAACAACTATAATTTGATCACATTATATTACAACTTAATGTATCTCACAACGGAACATATCTTAATAGGGGGAGAGGATTGAAAATATACCAAAAACATCCATGAAATGGTTGGGGATTGAACATGTACCAAACACACCCATGAAATGGTAGGGAGCAGAGCCAGCGAAAGTAACTTGTAGTTCCCCAAGATTGAAAGTATGTGTTTTATATATGATGCAGAATACTTTTTAACAAATTTGCTTATATTAAAATATATTTTTTTTAATTTTTAACACTTATACATCAAAATTATAAAAATAAACACTTAGAATGTTAGTCTCTGACCAAATCAGGTAAGCTGCTTCTGCATTATAAGAACAGTACAGCTCAAATTTTTTATGACCCTATGCCACCATCAATGGTATCCATGATGCGAGAACGCAAGGTCCATGGAGAAAAACGTTAAATGCTCACTTCACACATTACAAGAGCAGTACATCCAATAAATTTCGATTGACAAGTTCGGGTTTTAACTATAACTTAATAAAGATGCCGCTATTAATCACTTCACTACAGGATGACAGCGTTAGCAAAGCAAACATCTATAGAAGTAGCATATTCGATTAATCACAATTGCCCAGAATGCATGCATATACCCGGCAGAAAAGAATCGGACATCAACAATGGTTCCCGTACTTGCCCGGGTAAGCAAATAGCTCAAGACAGGCATTCTAGTTCTTGAATAGCAAAATATTTCAAAGAAAATAGCAAATACAACAATCCAAATCATAAAAATTCATTACTATCAAGTATCAACATGGGTTGATAGCTGCTGCATGATATGCAAAGATGCCTTGTACATGACACTAATATCATTGCGTAGACAAACAATAATGTCATTGATTTGTAATTGACCAAGAAACTGGTAAAAGAAAAAAAAAAACAGAACTGAAGATTACGGGACCTGTCTATGTTTGGAAAAGAACTTTAAAACAAAACCATTTTTAAGCCAATGACAAAAAGATCTTGACAACACCATAACATCTGAAGCATTCAAAGGGAAATATCAGATTACACTGATCTATCTAAACATGCAACAGGATAGCAAATAATTAAACCTACCATCAACACTGAACCGTCAGATCAACAATAGGAAACATCATAAGAATCAAAACTCATCTAAAAAACTTCTATTATATCTAGAAGCACCATCAGGTCATGAAGATAAAAATACAGGATTCTCTAAAAAGTCTTACATCACCAATAAAATATTTATAACGACAAAAAACTGCAATATGGTGCAAAAATTGTACTCTTTAAACCACTAAAAGCAGCAGAGGACTTGTGCATTCTGAAAGGAGCTCCTAATCAAACAAGCTGAATCCCATGTCTTCATCCTCACTTTCCTCCTTAACTGGTTCCTGTAAAATTCATAAAACAAATCAAAAAACAGTTAGAAATATCAAGTACCTAAAACAACCACCACCCACTTCAACAAATCCGATTTGTTCCTTTCTTCTCACCTTCTCCTCAGCGGCGGGAGCATCAGAGGCAGCAGGTGCACCACCAGCTGGGGCAGCAACAGCAACAGCAGCACCACCACCAGAGCCAACATTCATGATGAGGTCCTCAATATTGCGCTTCTCAGCAAGCTTAGCAAATAAGCCTGGCCAGTATGATTCAATTTGCACATTGGCTGCTTTCACCAATGTTGAAATCTTTTCTGCCTATTAGCAATAGTTAAAGAATCCAAGAAATCCGCTTTATAATAAAAATCACAAACCCTAAAAACTTATTTGAAGAAACCGGATAGCAATAGAATTATTTATCTAGTTTTTGAAGGATACAGTGATGGGGATGTTCTCATCAAAGAGAATAAGAGCAGCGTAAGTGCAAGCAAGCTCGCTAACGGACATCTTTCTTTAACTATGAAAATCATCAAAGAAAATATAAGAAATCAACAGACAAAGTTTCCACAATTATCAATTTAAACACAGGAAAGTAGAAGGATCACATCTACCATCTATCTATAAATAAAGAGCGTAAATAATTTTGATTTTGAGAAGAGAAAAGGAGCTTTTACCTTGTGAAAATAAGATCTGAGATGGTTGCTTCTATCTGTGCCCTGACCTTTGCCTGCGCTGCTGCAACACAGAATAGTATCTAGGGTTTGGGAATCAGAGCGAGAGAGGAGTATTAGAAGCAGTCTGAGGCGGGCTTGAGTGTTTTACGGGGCTCAGTGTGGTTGTAAAGGGTAGGCCCATTATGTAATACCCGCATGGTGATAGATTATTTTTTCACTCCCATTTATATTCAGTGAGAGCATCTCCGATGAACATGGGAAGAGTTAAATTGATAAAATAATTTTTTGAATAGTATAAATATAAATTTTTTAATTATATATATATTTTAATGATAAAATAATATTTATAAAAATCAATTATATTTTAATATATTATATGTTAAAATAATTTTATTATAATTATATAACTAAATATTTTATATATAATATAATTATAATGTTATTAATTATATAATTAATATGAGTAATTTATAAAATTAATATAAAATCAATGAAGTAATATGAAAGTTAAAAGATATAATTTAAAGTTAAACTTAAAATCTATTTATATGAATAATTTTAATTTTTAGTTTTATACGTTATTGTTAAAAATTTAATTTTTTAAAAGTAAATCGAAATTCAAACTTTGAAAAAAACCATCAACATTTTAAATTTTGATTTTCCCTCTTCACCCCAGCCGGAATGGAGGAAGAACTTTCACTAGAGAAATCAGATGTTGCAGATGGTTGGGTTGGTACCGCCAACATTTTAAGATTTTAAAATTTTAAAAAATAATCCATTTATAAATATTCTCATGTACCTTAATATTTTTTCTCATCATTTTCTTTTCTCCAATCTTTATTATATTTCATTAAAATTCATCATGAATCATTCTAAATTTAATTTTTATGATACTTTTGATTTTAATGATAATACTCATGTGTTCGCTTTTCAAGTTGCTACTGTTGTGGTTGTTGAAGAAGAATCGAATAATCAAGCATGGAGAACAGAGTATCATGGCTCTATTATTGGTCACAATATTTTCAATCGTAATAAAAAAAAAAGCTGAGTTAAGTTTATATAATGATTATTTTGCTAAAAATCTTAAATTCACTAAAAGTCAATTTCAAATAAGATTTAGGATGATTCGTTGTCTTTTTCTTTGGATCGCATGTAGTGGAAGCTCATAATCCATATTTCAAACAAAGGACAGATATTATTGGTGTTCTTAGTTTATCTTGCCTTCAGAAGGTAACTAGAACTCACAGCATACTTGCATATGGTATTCCTACAGATCTTAGTGATGAATATCTTTGAATTGGAGAAATCATTGTGATAGAAAGTCTTAGAGCTTTCATCAAAACAATCGTAAAAGTTTTTAGTGAATGGTATCCAAGGGCACTAAACAAGGTCGATATTTGTCGATTATTATCAATTGAAGAACAACATGGATTTTCAAGAATGTTAGGAAGCATTGACTGTATGCATTAGAAATGAGAGAAATGCCTAATTGCATGGCATGGGATGTATACTAGTCATTATTATGAACCAACTATAATTTTAGAGGCAATGACTTCATAAGATCTTTGAACATGACATATCTTTTTTGGAATCTTTGGATCATTAAATGATATTAATGTTTTTGATCAGTCAACTATCTTCATTGTACTTGTTGAAGGTATTACTGCTCCTATAAATTATACAATTAATAGGCATGAATATACAATGGGATACTATTTAGCAAATGAGATTTATCCTAATTGATCAACCTTTATTAAGACAATTTCAAAGCCATTAAGAGCAAAGAAAAAATATTTTGCAAATAAGCAAGAGTCTGCAAGAAAGGATACGAAGTTAGCATTTAGGGTGCTCCAATCTCATTTTGTAATAGTACATCGATCTCTTCGATATTGGGATGAAAAAATAATTGCAAATATTATGAAAACTTGCATAATAATACATAATATGATTATTACGGATGAAGGAGCAATGAACCTTGGATTTGTCTATAAACGTGACATCAATTCTTTTATATCAATGTCATATGGTGAAATACTAGAACTATATGATTTTCTTCAAACTCGTAATTGAATCAGGGATAAAACATCTAACTTTCAACTATAAGAAGATCCGATTGAACATTTGTGGGAACAATATGGCAATGAGTAGAATCGTTAAATTTGAACTTTTTATGTCAGCATAAGTTTCAAGTTTAATATTTTTTTTCCATTATAGTTGTTATCTTTTAAGTTAATTAATCCTACTTATTGTTGTTAAGTGTTAGAAGAACTTAAAAAAGGTATTATGAATTTATATAACTTTTATAACAATATATTTAAAATAACCAAGAATTTTTTACATGTTTAATTAAAAATACATTACATTAAACAATAAATCATTCTAGTTAATTTAAAATTAAAACCCTTCTTTTGCATAATTTCTAACTTTCTATTTTGAAATACATAGCAGAAAATTCATCCAAATTAGAAATATTCATTTTTATAATTTGTTATTCTTTCTCAATCCTATCTAATTTTTATTTTTCTTAACTTTGTTGAATTATCATAACTTGTTGCTTTAATATAATTTTTTTATTTTTTTTCTTCTGATCCTTAATTTCAACTAGAATATCCCTAAATTGTTACAAGAGACTTGCCATAGTTACCTTCCCAACTTTATCTTTTTCTTGTTTACATTTAAGTTGTTTTTTTGCAGCCTTGTGACCAATTAGTCTATCTTGATAAATCAAAAGTTCATTGTATTTTCCTAAACTAACAGAATCAGGGGTAAATGGAGCTAATGAAGCTAAACTTGCATTGATATGATATTTTTGTTTTTTGTTTAACCTTGGATGTTGACTTGCATGCTCAAATTGCTATTTGAGTTCTTTTCTTAATATAACCAAATAATGTTCTAGTTAGAATCGTTTGTCAATGCAAAAGGCATATATTTTTTTAGTATCATTAATCTAGTAAAAAAATTAGAGAAATTAAATAATATCAAAATATATGTTAAACAATTTAACATGAAAATGAATATTAAAATTACCCTTAATTCTTCGGTCATTCCACTTTGGTGATGATTTTCAATTTGAGTAATAAATCTAACAAATTTTTTGACTTCTCTATTTATTTCTTGCCATCTACTTGGGATGCTTATTTGAAAACGATTATTCAAGTTTTTCCCATTCTCTACAAAATAATTCAGTCCAGAACTGTTTTGTTTGTTGTTCAACTCCTTTAATTGAATCCTTGTTTGTATTTAGTCATGCAAATACAAGTAAACAATCTTTCTATAGTGAGAAATTTTTATTTTTTTGTGATTTTTTTTTATTATATGGACATTTAAATTCAAGTATGTTAAGTCATCAATTAATTGATTAGAATCATTTGGTTGAGAGAGAATATCTTTTGATTCACTCATAAAAAAGTTGGTAAAAAAGTTTGGAAAATTTGAATCCATCTATATTTAAAAAAAAAAAAAACTCAAGTTAAAACATTATAAGAGAATGTAAAAGAAATTCATATTCAATGTCTAGCAATTTTGTGGTTTTCATACATCTTAATTAGTAATAAGTATCGCTTCCTACTTGTTCTAACATTATAATTTAATCATTTTTTTGAACTAAATAAGGATTGATATACTAGTTTAATTGCATTTTTAACAAGAAAAAATATAATTGACCTCAATTTAAAACATACAATCAAAAATAAATTTCAAATATGTCACTCTATATCTTTAATAATATCTGCTACCATTATTACTTCCTTTTAATTCTATTAAAGATAACATCATAAATAAAAATTGTCTTCCTTAACTCATAGCAAAAACATAAAATAACAGAGAAGTAAAAATCATCACAAATATCAAATTAATAAAAAAAGATCTAAAAAATTAAAAGATCTAAAAAAGAAAATAGAAAGAGTTTTCAAACAAGCATACCTTTTAATTTCAGCTAATTAACACAACCAATGTTATTAATTAACCGAAAAATAATTAATTTTTATTTTTCTAAATTTGAGAGAAACATCTCTTTTTTAGAATATAAAATACCTTTTGATGTAAATAGCAAAAGAAAATAGCGCTTTTAGAATAGAAAATAGAAATTATAAATAAAAAAGAAAATAGAAAAAGTTTCTTTCCTTCTACTTTAAAGAAAAAAGATACATTATTGGCCATTAGCTATAAAAATAGCTACTAGCCAACAATTATTTTCTTTTGCTATTTATATAGAAAAATATAAAAATAGCTCTTCAAAAAATAAATATTTATTTTAGTTATTTATTTAGTTAAGTTATGGAAGTAAATAAAAATAAAAATAAAAAATAAAAAAATAAATTTTTAAATTTATTTTTTTATTTAGCTTTTTTATCAGAGATGCTCTTATGTTACACTTGGACCCGTATATTTTAAATATTCAATATCAGCCCTCATGTTTCCAAAAGTTCTTACTCCGGTGGCCCGTTAAGAGCCCGTTTGGTATTGGTTCGCAGCAATCACCGCAGGCTTAACTTCTTTCAATAATGACTTTCTGACTTTTCCGATGGGGGAAACTTACAAACTGGCCGAACAAGTTTGTTTCCCATCCTTAACACAGATGCTTTTAGAAAGATGTTAGATGTAAAATTTCTTCAACTAAGTTACATTAATTTTCATGGAAGCTTGAGCACTTTCCCAAGATTTTGACATGGTTATGTTGGCATAGATTCCCTGTGAGATCCATACAAAATCACGTATGCTTGGGAAAGTTGGTAGTTCTTGATCTATCCAAAAGCTGTTTAATTGATGCTTGGAAAGGCAAACCGGTATGTATGTAGTCTCTCTCTGTAGCTATCTCTCCCGTTTTCAATCGATAACAACTAAATTCATGTATTTTCGCAGTTTCTTTCAAAATTGAAAGTTCTTGATTTCCATCACTCGCATGATCTCATTAGAACCCCAGACTTCTCGGGTCTCCCAGCCCTTGAAAAACTAATACTTGAAGACTGCATCCGTTTGGCTCAAATTCACGAATCTATTGGTGATTTACAAAGACTATTAATCTTAAATCTAAGAAATTGCACAAGTCTTGTGAAGCTTCCAGAAAATGAAGTTTAATTCACTTCAAGAGCTGGTTTTAATGGTTGCTCAAATCTTGTCATCCATTTAAGAATCCTAAGTGTAATTCATGCATGGTTCAAAAGCGACAAATCCTTCTTGTATGATCTGAAAGAAAAAAGAAATAACATTGTTATGCTTGATACGGAAACGAAAAAAAGAAGAAGTTCTTTTAAGTATTATAAAATAAATAGTCGTGTTTCTTCGTGAGGTGCTCGTATTTCATCGTCAGCTGGACTGATTTTTTTACAATAAAAATAATATAAAAAATAATATTTAAATACTGTTTGATGTATTAAAAAAAATTATAATTTGAGTTATAGATACTTCTAGATCTAATAAAATAATTTTATTTAAATATATGATAAAAAAAGATAATGGTATTAAATGAACCAAATTTAAAAACAAAAACATGATAAAGATGGTTAGAAGAAAATGAATGCATGTCAGTATCTAGAAGATTGTTTATTGTCCTTGTACCTTCTCCTACTGCTTCCTGCATCCATAAAATCTGTTTGTCTCTCAATTATTTATCAAGAAAATTTTTACCGCTTTATTTACCTTCAAGATCATGAATTCCAAGGAAAGGCTCTTCCTTTTGAAAGAGAGTTTTTCTGGCAACAAAACAAAAAATTAGAAAACAATTCCATATCGAAAGGGAAAAATCTTTCTTTTCTTGTACTCCAACGTCCAGTCTAAACCAACACACAACAAGTAAATTCAAGTAATCCATATAGACAACTCCAAGGCAGCATCATGCAAAAGAAGGATATATGGAAACAGGAAAAAGGTGCTAGCACCATTTCTAAGCTTCAGGAGCTCTTGAATATTGAAGGATCCAACTTGTTAAGAGAGGAGGTGGAAGTCAGACTGGACATCTAACAGAACAAACTTCATGTAAATGACAGATGCTCTAACACTATTGGCTATGAACAACTGCTAAGCTGATTAAATGTCTGACAGCTAAAATCTACATCAACCATATTGCAACGTACAGAAGTTACCCAGGAGTTCCACACAGAAAGTTCAGCTAGCGTATGTCCTGGCTGACCATCTCCTCTAACCACATAACACCTTTACATTGCCCGCGCATGGAGCAAAGACCCCTTGAAAGCATATTGTAGGTGTCGGCAGGTGGCCAATATGATTTAATAAACTTCTCTTCCAAAACCTTACTTGCTTCAACGAACCTGCCATCTCAACAAAGTCCATCCAATAAAATGCCATAATTAAGTTTCCTGGTTGGCAACACAACCAACCTGCTTAGCTATCTTTTTCAAGTATCCGACAGCGATTGCAGAATTCCCTGCGTCACTTGAGCCTTTCAACAAGACAATATACGTTCAACCTTACAGTTACATTAATGGCTTCACCGCCCCTACTACCTTTTCTTCACAATGCGGTGACCTTCGCTTCATAAGCCCCAAGTGATGGTCTTTATAGCCTCTCTCTTGAGTTTTATCCAGCGCTTTACCAGTCTGACCAGTCTTGCCTTCACGGTAAAGATCAACAGCCATCGCCAAATAACTACCCAAACGGGGAACTCCACCTCTGATGAGAGCTTCATTAATCAAACGCTTAGTGGGTTTAATATCTTCACCATTATTGCACTGACTAAGATCAAGACGATCCCGGCATCGCTTAGGTGCCTTCACCCCCTTCATTAGGATCTTACCGAGGATTTCCAAGGCGTCTTCATCCTGCCTGATATCACATAAAGCATCCAAAAGTGTACTATATACCACAATATCCTCATTCCTCACCGCTCCCCTCTTGAGATATCCTCCAGAACGTGGAATATAACAATGTGTGGCCTCGTTTAGCCTCCCATCTTCGCACAACTATCCTTGTTCGGACGGGATCCTGATAATCCGTCTCTTGGAAGACTTGGTTGGAAGGTGATTACGCTGACAAAGAGCATCCAATAGCAGGTTCAGGTCATGAATGCGAGACTTCACATCCCACCCATGAGTTCTCCAAAAAAATACGGTGAGTTGCCTCAAGTTTTGATTCCTTCACCAATATATGCAGAAGGGAATTGAAAGATTCAGTCCAGTTTACGCAGTTGAACTTTGGAATGTTCTTGAAGAGTGAGACAGCTGAGCTTAATAGGCCAGCACTCGCATAGTCTTGATTGCAGTCACCGAGTCTGAATCTTAGCGCTCACAGGAATCCTCTTTCATCTCAGTAATTCGGCCCGGGTTTCCAAGGATGCCAATCATGGTGGCATGCACAGGACCATTGTGAAGATAGCTGGGGCATTTGTCTTTCGCTTACTTGAAAATCTGCAACGCTGTTAATGGATTTTCTGGCTCCTCAAAATCTGAGAGATCTAGTTGTTTTGTGTTAGAAGCCCCCGGCATCCTACGTCGAAAATTTAGTTTGACATTAAACTACAAAAGAAAGACAACTAGAATCACTAATTTTTGTAGAGTCTAAAATGGTGGCATTCCAAGAAGAAATATAATTTTGTTAAGTTATCAGAACAGGGGCAAGCAAGAAAAAAGAAATGCACTTAATGTTAATCATTTGACCAGCAATTTCAATGAGACCTTCAAATCAATTTAACGCTAGGCAAATTAAAGCTAACAAGGCGGCTATAAAATTAAATATGGGCTGAAAGCCATGAAAGGAAGTAGATGAAACTTTATTTTAATGAGCATAATATCCTGTTAAGAGTATGGAATTGTATTTAGATGTATTTAAAAAGTATATTTAACTTGAAAAAGATTTAAATTAATGTTTTTTTTATATTTTAACATGGTGATATAAAAAATAAAAAAATATATTTTAATATGTTTTTAAATTAAAAACATTTTAAACTAAATTATCAAACAAATACCACTAACATGACATGACATAGCAGAGAGTTGAGCTGAGATTATCTTAAATAAAATCTATAATTTAACAGAGCCCGAAAGAAAAAAAGAGTGATGCATGATCTGTTTAATTAAGAAGTGAAACACAATTGCTTAGGTGATGAAGAGTTTAAAATTAAAAGGTTTGTTTTTTCTATAGATTTATGTTTAAATTTTGTGGTTTTTAATATAATAATGATTAAAAACTTATATAATTATTAATTTTAGAATTTATAAAATTAATCGGGTGTTCAAATGGGTCCGGACCGAAGTTATTAACCAAAAAAAAATGAAACACAATTGTACTCTACTTCAACCGAACCAATGAAATAGCGGCTTCGAAAGTTTAATTTGGGGTGTTCAAATGGATCCGGACCGAAGTTATTAACCAAAAAAAATGAAACACAATTGTACTTTACTTCAACCGAACCAATGAAATAGCGGTTTCGGTTTGCTCCCTCTGTGGTCTCAGGTTTGATTAATCGGGTGTTCAAATGGGTCCGGACCGAAGTTATTAACCAAAAAAAAATGAAACACAATTGTACTCTACTTCAACCGAACCAATGAAATAGCGGCTTCGAAAGTTTAATTTGGGTAACAGAGATAGTAAGATTCAATTTGTATAGAAAATAGCAGGCGGCGAAGAGAAGAAGGCTCCAGGACAGATATCTGTCAAGGAATCCATCGAGGTCGCTTGTCTTCGATTTTCATGTTACCGTTACGCTGCCGTTTAGAAAACATAGACCTGTTAAAACTTGAGGGAATGAATGGCATTATTTTCTTATTAAAAGGGAAAGGCGTCGTTTTTGACGGTCAACCCAGTCAATAAGAGGCGGTCAAAGGAAAACCAACGTGAAATGATATATTATTAAAAAAGAAAAAGGAGGAGGCGTCACTTGGTATAAATCCAGATAAAGGAAGGAATCATTAATCGCTCGCTCGCTCCGATTTCTCCATTGCTGCACCTCGCGGTTGGACAAGAGGTGCGCTCTCTCTCTCTCTCTCTATATATATATATATCTATCTATCTATCTATCTATCACATATGTGTGTAGGTAGGTGGATCTCATCAATCTTTTCGTATGCGTGTGTATCTCTCTGATTATGCGTTTAATTCTAATCGTACAATCTTTTCTTTTTGTTTGAAGATTCTATATGAATCCTAGAATTTTTTAAATTGTAAATCTTCGATCTTAATAGACAATCGATGACTTTCAAAAAATTTTCTTCTTTTCGAGGGCGCTGATTTTCAAATGAAAATGAATACCGTTGTTAGAATTTAGAGTAATTCGACCTCTAAATTTAGGATAAAATGGTTTTAATTAAAAAAAGAAAACGGGTATTGGATGTTACTACTTGTGACCTGATTGGAGGAAAATGATAGGCAAGGTATTGGGGAGGCTTATTGGTATAATCTTTTGATGCATTTTCCACTCGAGGATGTGTCTGTATGATGGTAGTTTGCAGTTGTTTCGGGGCTAGATTTTATCTTTAAGAGTTTTGTTTGAAGAGCAGGTCTTGATGTGTTTAGATCTGCTGAGCAGTTTTTCTTGTTTCGTAGGTGCTGAACAAGTATGTTTGTTATATTATGTTTTATTTATTTATTTATTATTATTGGATAATATGCTTGTCATGTAACACTTGTTGTGTCAGGGTTCTTTCAAATAATTTTTTTTTGGATATTGCTGCTTTAAATAAAAACGTTCATTCAGCTTAGATTTCTGTTGGATAGGTTTTCAATTGTTTTGGTCCTGTATATAGTTGCTGCATCGTATATACCCAAATACTCAAGGAAGCACAAAGGTTAAGGAGTTTGAGAGACCCATGAGACTAACTTCTTGTCTAGTTACTATAGAATGCTTGATATAGATATTCTTGCTGAACTTTCTTTTAGCATGACATGAAGTTGCTGTTTTGGATTAACCAAGCAAATCTTAAATTTTTCAAATTACTAAGAGCGTGATGCAACCTCAAAATGAACAGATTGTCCAGCTTTAGCCTGCAAGCACCCTTTGTTTCATGCTTTGTAGCCATTGTAGGCCCTATCCTTTTTTGTTATAGTTTGCTCATCTATTTGAATCAGATGGGAGCCCCATTTTCTAAGCTTATACTGCTTCTATGAATCGGCTCTTTGTCCTGACATCTGCTTTGCTGACTACAACACAGATAATAATTGATTAAAACAGCGGAAGTTGTGGAGTAATATAGAGAGATGGCCAGGAATGATATCAGGCAAGTTAGGATAAGTGGAAGCAAAAGGAATGAATCAGCACTGGCTCGAGTAATGAATAAGGTCATTGCCTTTGTACGCTTTGCAGAATTTGAGATCTTCTTCGTTCTGTTCTTTCTCATTGCTTTTTTCTTCTTCAAGAATCTCACGTCCAGGCCTGAGTACAGCCAAATCCTTGTAAAGAAGCCTGGCGGTGCTGACTTTTGGCCTTACTAGGAAGGCATTGGAAGAGTGGCTTATTGTAGCCACCCCCACCCCCTCTTGATTTGCCGAGGGTTTAGTTGTTCTGTCATAGATTTTGCTCTGGTGCTACCATATGTTATGTTGTATGATAATTTCTGTAACATTTCTTTTCAAGAAAAATACTGTACACTTCTTCAAACTGGATGTTTTACAAGGAAGGAAATTGTTTGAGCTTTGACACAAATTATATTATTTCAAGAAGCATGGTTACTCGTTTCAGTATTTATACACAAATACCAGATTTTAGGTGTGTCAGGCAGCTTTTATTGAAGCTATCAGCTACGTATAGAGATGGCATTTTCTGGCGGTTATTGAGATGAAAAAACCAATGTCATTGCATGAATGTGTAGATTTCAAGTAGAGGATGGCATTTGAATTTGTAACTTCTACGCGATTTGATAAGAACAAAAGAACCTATCCTCATTAGCCATTGACATATAACTTCTATGTGATTTGATGTGTGCATTATCCATGTCAATGATCTTATTTTAAATTCATCTCATCATCAATTGTTTAGCAGAAACTTCTCCACATACTTTGCAATCGAATTCCAACTGTCACAGGCATGTTATGCAGACCCGCATGCCCAACTTTGAAACAGGAAAGGTACCCACTTCCATTTGACTCCCCTTGGATTCCAAACACATACCCCAAAAGATGTGATCATTCAAAAGAAGGGAATTGAATAAGAAATGAAATGCCGATTGAAAACGAAAGATTGTCAGTAAACAAGGGGGGGGGGGGGGGGGGGAGGGGGGGGGAAAAAC